CCCAAAAGTGGATATCTGACTTACTCGAACGATTTATCGATATGCATGCCGTGTGATGAAACATAGATAAAGTTTTGACCCCCGTCTCAATAGGCCTACTATCACACACAAGAGTCACACAGTCTCTCGACTCACTCATCTAGACATAAGCTCCGACCTCATCAAGGGCTAACCTAAAATCCTCTTGGTTTAATTCTTCATACTCAAGTACCTTAGGTTTTTCAACCGACTGGCCTAGATCGATAAGTACAGTCTGACATAAGCACACATCATTTGTTTAGTGTGGTCCTCGAAAGATCACACTCCCATTGAGTTTATGTTTCACTATAATTAAAATGTTTCAATACACACTCATAAGACCTTTAAAGGCCACATAAACCCAACAACTTTTAAATGAATATGCGCCTGGTTGAAAAGTGTAAGCACCATAAATTTCTCCTATGCTATTTTATACAAAAAAATTTAAAAATTGAAAACAAAATAAAGTCCTAGTCGTTCATTTCTTCTATTCTGATCCCGAGGGTGGGTGCTTGCTCACCACTTCATGTGAATTCTATATTTTGCAAATAACAGCACCAATGACCTCTCTCTTTCTCTCTCTCTCTCCATTTCATATTTAAATTCTATAGCTCTCAAGCTCGATTCCTCTCTCTCTTCAAATAACAACATTAGGGACCTCTCTCTCTTTCCATGTAAGCAAATGTGAGGTGGATTTTTCTCTCTCCATGTGAACAAGTGTGAGGTGGATTTCTTTAGGCATTGTTTAATGTTAGTAGGATTGCAACGTATATATGGTTTTATTTGTGACATAATCTTTTGAGACCTTTCTACATGCATGTGTATAAGATTTCAAACGATTATTATTAAATTTGACACAAATCTCTAAAAAATTTATAAAATGAATGTGAGACTTGATTTTTTAGATATCTTTAAAGACGCTCGTTTAAAGTCCCACTTAGGCGGGGGAGGAGTGTGATAGGGTCTTACGCGACCATTACTCTTTATTCGTACATGTGAAAGTGCGGACCGCATTGTGCATTACTTTGAAAATGTTGAGGCTTCATTAAGTTGGTGAGTGGAATCATAGATGGACCAAGTCTCAAAGCACATCCATTAAAGACAACTGCTCCTTGTGACCGTTGCCCCTTTAACTTGATCTCATCAAATATACACCTCACCTCTTTTTTAGGCAGCTAGTCAAATCTTAAAATCTTATCCAATTCTCTCTCTAACAATGTTTCAAAACCTTATCGGGATCATTAATTTAGATGAGAATTAGTTGGGATTGAACCGGCTCTGGGTCTCAACCTGGTTCCCCCTAAAAGCCTTCCTGATATATTATTTCGTTTTTTAGCTTATTTAATATTTTTTTAAATTTCATCTCAATCCCCACCCTAATAACTCCAATTTAATTCATACTTTATCTCTTTTTTTTTTTGAATTTGTTTGGATCACTAATTTGGACCGAGTCAAACTCGAACTAAATAAATGATTCAACGACCTGAAACAGATCTGTGGATGAACGAACTGCCTCACCGATCTGAGTTTTAAACACTGATCTCAAATAAAGGGTAATTTTTTAGATTCTAAATATTAAATCCAATATTTACTGCTTACTCTCTCCATATAGATGAAAAATTTTATATAAGGTTGCAGCCTTGTATTGTAGGAGCAAGGTGCACCTCAAAAATCTCGTAGAAAATAGTATTTTGAGGTTGAAAAACCTTGTAATTGATAGATTATAAAGAACAAACAGCTTTTATGAGTCGGCCGACTCATCTAATTATAGAAGTCCTCCCTTTGTAAAACATCTTAGCGATAGACTTTGGGTCCAAATATTTTGAAAATCTATAGCATGATGAACATGGCTATAAAAAAAAATAATTAATATTACTATTTTAAAAAATTATTTTAATATTTAAAATAAAAAAATAACATTTTTTGAAATGTTTTGTTACTGTTGATTTGTGGGTTTCGGTGGCACAACGACCTCCTACATCTATCGCATGGATGTTAGTGCAAACCCTGATGTGTGGAGGTATTGGAGTTTAATTTCTAATATTTGCAAAATTCTCTCTCTCTCTCTTTCTTTCCATTGAAGTTTAATACCTTATTAAAAATATTTTAACTCCTAATTTGCAAATATTAAATCGAGTATATGCTAACTATTTTATTTATGTTGGACTAGGAATCTAAATTTTGCCAAGAAGCAAAGCTGTAGCGCTACAGAAACTGCTGAAAAAACATATGATATGCCCAACTGGACGGACTTAGGATTTAATTATCCCCCCTATTATATATAAATAGAGAACTTTCCAGGTGAAATTTGAACAAAAAAGAAAAAAATAATAATAACTATTTTGCTCATATGACGTATCTCATGCGAAAATTGAAAAAGTAAACCTTTAGTAAACCATTCATTTGGGATAGAGCGCGTATACTATGCTCATATGTACACTTACTCCGTCGCGCAAAAGACTAACTTGAAAATATTTTTTATCTGAAATTTTAGAAATCACCTAAATAAAAAATTTAAAATTTAAGTTTTCTAGCAGTCAGATCTCACCCTTGAATTAAAAAAAAATTAAAGCATTATTTTTTTTAAACCCATAGAGATTGCAATTTGGATTTTTTTTTCTTTTTTTTTTTTAGTATAGCATATGGATTAAGGAGGCTAAATTACCCAAATTTCATGTCCGAAAAATACTTCTATATTTGATTTTGCCTGAGGAAGTGAATGGACAATATGCTTCATTGGGAGCCTGAAAATCTTTTGAGTTTAGAGAGCATAAAAAAAAAAGGCTATACTTTTTATGCACCTTGCCGACTTAATTTTTTCTCACTTTTTTTTTTCAAAATACATTTTCTATATAAATACCTTCAACCAAAAATTAAATACTTAAACTACTATATCTTACTTTTACTTTACCTACCCCTCTCTCTCCTCTATCCCGTCAAAACAAGGGCTCCATCAATATATAAGTGCTGTCCAAAGGTGGGCTCCATCAATATATAAGTGTCGTTTAAAAGTGAATCAAGCGACTCTAACACTGTATAAGTGCAGTCCACCAGTTGAACATTATGGAATCACTACCTTTCAATAATACGAAGGCGCGCTCTGATAATACGATAGTGTGCTTCAACAATGTGCTACTATATATGAAAGGTATTTTCATTTAAGAGATTAGAAAGTACTGGTGAAATCTTGAAAAAAAAAATTTATATCGTTTAAAAAAAAAAATGAGAAGAGGGTTTATCGTGGAATTACTCCACGAATTAATGTTCTACACCATATTTTCCCAACCGTTGGGAACGAGATTCCTTTTCAATCCTTTCCCACTTGCCGCCGCGCCTCACATCAGTCCAAAGGTCAACCTTTGTCCAAATGACCCGAACGATAATAAATATTTACTAGAATACCCCTCTGTAGAATTTGCCTTTCCTCGTTAGGCCCGTTTTGGGTTTTGGCAGTTTAATAATCAAAAACACTTCAACGTGGTTTTCGCAGCACCGGGATATTTGGTAGGGCCGTACCTCAAAATCCCATTTGATGACGTTAGTTTTAAGGAAATAGTTTATACAAAATCAAATTACAGTCTACCTCAAAAATTTTACTATAAGACAAACCGCACCTTTTAATTCAATAACTTTTGCGAGGGCCCACAAATTTATTTTTGCCGTTGATTGTAGCATATAAAGTTCTAAAATGGTGTAGATCTAATATATCAATAAACACTTTAAAATGAGTGGCCTGTAAAATATGGAATATGGAAGACCATTTTTCAAGGAATTTTTTTTTTTGGATATCCATGATTTTCATTTGAGATGATTGATTTGTAAGTTTTTAGATATTAGATTATCCTTTCTGACAAGATTTAAGGTACAACTTGATAAAATTGTAGTACTATATATAACTTTCCCTTTATAATCGAAGTGGACAATATTTTTTTATCGACAATGCAATATTCATTGGCCAAAGAATCCAATATTTGGCAAAGCCACACCTCGGAGCCACACCAAAGAATATGGTTCCAACATTGAAAAGTTTTTTTTTGATAGAAAAAGTTTATATAAAGTTGCAACTTTAAAATGTAGAATTAAAGCACCTCAAAAAATCTATCGGAAAAGGTAGTTTTAATGTTAAAAAACTCTCTAATTGATCATCTCGAAATTGAGATGTATATATATTTAATCCAAAAAATAGTGCATCTTGCAACACGTTATCTAGACCATCTATTTTCATGATTTTCATATATTTTATAGATCTATTTGATTTTAACCATTTTTAGTAATTAAAATTTTATAATTAGATATGAAAATAGATTTTAAGACAATCTTAAGAATTTTTTACACCAAAATTATATATTATGACAAAATTTGGAGGTACGTCTTAATTAGATTGTTTAAGGTTGCAACCTTATAAAAGCCACACTTTTTTTTATATAGTCCACCACCAAAAGCCTAAATATGGTCCAACAAATCTATCTTCCCATGTGACCAGTAACCATCTATCAATCAATCAAGGTTGTTGTTTATATAAGGTGGTAATCTTATTTATATAAAAATAAAGTTGCAATATTCGCATTATACATTTTAGTTTGAAAGTATAGATTTCACACATCTTTTAAAATATGAAAAAACATATAATGACAACATTTATCTTTGGTACAAAGTAGTCATAATTAATCTTGACCATTGGATGTGAAATTGGATGGTTGAATTTATTTCATCAACCATACTCAAACTTTAAAAAAAAAAATTTGAACTTTGTGATATATCAAAACTATCAAATTTCGCATCATATGGTTTTTATATATGATCAAATCTTCACCACCAAACAAGATAAACAATATAGATTATTGCTACCTTACTTCTACATATAATGTTACAATTTTATATAAACTTTTTTCATGTATTCCTCACACTCTCTTGCCCCTCTCTCATGCATGTATGAAACATCAATATGTGTCTTTTTATTTTTGTTGGAGCGGGGTAAAATTCTGGCTCCTGCGAGTCAAGAATTTCATTGAAGGGGTATTTCTGAAAGTGATTTGCCAACAAGGGGCGTTTATAATCAGAGGGAACTAAAAACATAACGCCATGTAGCCATCGCCATAGCCGTTTAAACACAGAAGCTCCACAAATGACAGGAACTCATCCCCTCTCTATCTCTTCTGTCTTGTTTTCTCTCTCTCTTCTTTGTCCAAAACTCCTTAAAAAGCCCACATTGTTAAAACCCATCTTCTCTCTTGTTTTCTGTGTTTCCTTTCTCTCTCCTGCCCCCTGCAAATAGTTTCTTTCTTCCCTGCAATTGTCTCTGAGAAAGAAAGCAAAAAAGAAGAGAGAGGAGAGAGAAAATGATAATGCCACTCAGCTCTTAGAGAGAGAGAGGAGGGGGGAAAGTATCTCACAGTTTTATACCATGTATTTACCTCCCAACCTGCCATGAAAGAACTTGTTCCAACCAAACTGTTTCTCTCTCTAACCTTCCTCCTCCTCCATCAAACATTTGCAGAGAACCAGAAAACTGAAGACAACATAAGCTTTGGTTTCGCTTCTTTTTCTCCCAGAAACATCACATTACTGGGGGATTCATACCTTCATAATGGAACGATTGGCCTTACCAGAGAGCTCGGCGTTCCTAGCTCAAGCACAGGTAAGGCTCTATACAATTTGCCTGTAAAATTCTTTGACCCAAGAACCAATATATCAGCTGCCTTCTCGACTCGATTTTCTTTCTCTATCTCCAGTGTAGACCAGGGATCTTATGGAGATGGGTTAGCCTTTTTCATCTCTTCCAGTAACTATACATTGAGTAGCTCAGGTGGGTTATTGGGTCTTTTCAATTCCTTTGATTCAAGCTTCAAGAACAAATTTATAGCCATTGAATTCTATACATCTTCTGATGCTCGGTTCAATTATTCGAGCGTTAACCATGTTGGTCTTGATGTGAATTCTCTTCCCTTTAATAAAACACTGAATCTTGATGATGTTGGGATTGATTTGGAGAGTGGAAATTTGATAACAGCTTGGGTGGAATATAGCAATGAGAAGAAAAGGGTTCTTTTATGGTTGAGTTATTCGAGTTTTAAGCCGACGAAGCCCCATTTCACTCTGAGAACTGATCTCTCGATGCATTTTGAGGAGTATATGTATGTGGGTTTTTCGGCTTCAAGAGAGGGGAACACTGAGCTCCATAAAATTGAGGATTGGAGTTTCAGAACTTCTGGGTTTCAGCCGAAGCCTGATCCTAGTTCAAATAATATTTCTTCAAATTCTTGGATCAAGCCTCTCATGGTTCCCCCAAATTCAAAATGCCATAAACATCCACGTCTGAGTAGAAAGCTGAAATTGGGTCTAGAGATCACTGGCTCTCTGGTTTTTTGTCTTTTTTTTGGGATACTAGTCTGGTTCTTGATCAAGAAATGGTGCGGATTCATGCTCGAGAACACATTCAGACCAGAGTTTCTAAAAGGCCCTCGGAAATTTAAATATAGAGAGCTGAAATTTGGGACTAAGGGTTTCCATTCGAGTCGAATATTAGGGAAGGGATCCTTTGGAACAGTTTATAAAGGAATTCTCAAATACTCTGGAACCATTGTTGCAGTTAAGAGATCAAAAAAGCAGAACCATGAGGGCAAATCGGAATTCATAGCCGAATTAACAATCATAGCTGGTTTAAGGCACCGAAACCTTGTTCAACTCCAGGGCTGGTGTAGTGGGAATGGAGAGCTCCTTCTGGTTTATGAATTCATGCCTAATGGGAGCTTAGATACAGCCCTCTATGGAGAGAGGAAACACGGTAACCCACTCCCTTGGCCAAATCGATACAAAATAGCGATTGGGTTAGCCTCAGTTTTGGCATATCTCCATGAAGAATGCGAGCAACAAGTGATCCATAGAGATATCAAAACCAGCAATGTTATGCTTGATGCAGATTTCAATGCTAGGTTGGGTGATTTTGGGCTGGCAAAGCTCGCAGAGCATGATATGACCCCTGATAACAGTCTAACAGCTGGAACTATGGGCTATCTAGCCCCTGAATATATTCAATATGGGAAAGCCACTGAGAAAACTGACATATATAGCTTTGGGGTGGTACTTTTAGAATTGTGCTGTGGAAGAAGGGCCATAGAAAAGGATATTCAGAACAACATGGTGAATTTGGTGGACTGGGTCTGGAGTTTACATGGAGAAAATAGGCTTTTTGATGCTGCTGATGTGAGTTTGAGGGAGAATTATGATAGAGAAGAGATGAGGAGATTGCTTCTTGTTGGGTTGAGTTGTGCTCACCCTGATTTTGAAGAGAGGCCAACTACGAGGAAGGTTTTGCATATTCTTAACAGGGAGGGAGAGGTTACCGAGGTGCCGGCTGTTAAGCCAAGCATCAAATTCTCAAGGGAGTTATCTCTAACTATAGATCAGATATTTTTGGAGGCGGAAACAATTGGGAATTCAAAGGAATTTTACGAGTTGAAGATTGACCAATTGAACTAGTTGACCTGTGCTCTGTGGTTGAGGTAATGCACTAACTATTGTTTTGTGTGTGGGTTATTTGTTTGTAAGCATGCATGTTTCTCTCTCTCTCTC